TCCGTGAGTGACAGGGAGAAGCGCTAATGGGAGCAGCGCAGCATATTGAGTTGAGTTGGGGATGGCAGCTGATCAGACATGAATGAAACATTCTGTCACTTTGAAATTTCTTCCTGAGTGATGACTCTCCGATGTAAACATAAATCACAGCACGGCCATTGATTTAAACTTAAAATCAGGACTTTACCACAGCTGAGCAGGCGGCCTGAAAAATGGCTCGTGACGACAGGTTAACGCGCAGTTAATGGGCCACATTAGAGTCAATATTTCATAGTCCTTCTGTTGACTGACATGGAAAAATGTGTACATAAAAGCAGATTTATTGGAAATTTGGCTGTATTGAAAGACCAGCATATGTGAGCACAGAGAGAGGGAAGCAGATATAAAGCAGACGAATTTAGCTTGCGCTAAAACACAAGGGTGGAAGTAAAAACCCACAACAAAGCCGTATTTATTGGTTTATTGATTTTTTTTTATTATTTTTTTTTTATTGATTGATTAAAGGTGAGATCCTGCTGCTCAGGATTTCATCTCTCTAGTGTAGATCAGTATGTTTATCCTACATCATCAGTAATTTATGATGGCATTACATAAACAGTGCGCCGGGGGAGAACACACTGAGGCCGGGGCGAGGCATGTTCTGGGCTTATAAGGACATTTCCATTAGCCGTGGTAGCAGATGGGAAGCTGGTGGTAGCAGATGTTTTTTTCTTACTGTAGATCATTCTACCTAACCCTTTCAATAATTCAGAAATCAAAGTCTGGTTGAACCCCACCCCCTGTCCATCAGACTGCAGTTTAATTATTCGATGTGGCGTGGGGGAAATAATGTCTCAGAAATATGCAATTTACAAACTCAAACAAACTGCACTTTAAATAAAATTGAATTAACGCTGCCACTGAAGTGGTCCGGAGCAATATTTAACATGGATTACATTTAATTCTGACTTCTTCTTATTATTTGCAGAGTGCAGCCTCTAAGCTGGGTCCTCTGCCCAGGATCCTGCGAGAGGTGAACACAGCTCTGTCTAATCCGTCCAGTGTCCAGATGACACCCGGCCAGTCCTCCGAGCAAATGGGCTCGCCTCCTGCTGAGGCAGTCTGCAGCATTTCCACCGGCCTGCAGAAGATGGTCATAGACAATGACCTTTCCGGGTAAGACATTTTAAAATATAAATACACTCAAATTTCTAAAAA